CTCTGATCTAAATTTTTGGGAGCACATTCAAATACAATTAATTTGTAGAAGGCAGACCACCTGGCAAATCTAAGGTTCGAGAAGGTGGTGAACTACAGATTTGCAGCAAGCCATGCAACCATGTAAACTACAGGACCACACTGCTTAATTTCTTATAATTACTAAACTAAAAAAGCTACAAACACTTTGATTTGATGCTCACAGGACAGTTGTGTATAGTTCAACACAAAATAACTTCAGGAGTGTGCAAACTCCCTACTGCTACTGTTTAGTTGTCTTGAATTGCAAGGACATTACATAAGTACATGTATTTCTGGAGTTGAGTTTCTGAGTGTTACAGTAACAGTGTGGACAAAATACTTATGTTCCCTGAGAATCACAAAAAGTCACGGTCCTTTGTAAAAGTTTATCAGCATTCTGATTTTTTTCCGAAGATGAAAAGCTGCACAAACACGAGTCCATAATAATGTGTAGTAAAACCCAATTCATAGAAATAAAAAGGCTATTGATTTTCTTCGAAACCATGGTATACCACAGTTTCGCTAGGAAAAGCGTTGCATAACGGCCTTAAGACATTACATGACCAGGAAAAAAGATTTGAACTTCCAGCGAAATAAGAACAAGGGTAAACTGGCAGGAAGAGTACTGCTCGAAGACACCTTAAAACAATAAATATAGCCTTTCAAGAAGATATTTTATCCTGCTACAAAACCTTAACTAAGAACATATGTGCTAAAATTTCTATTATGAACTTCTGCGTCACCAGTAAGGCGCTTTTGAAGCTCTAGCTCCCTCATTTCTTCACTAGCCATGTTTAAATGGCAACACTGTTTAGTTTCGACTCAAGAAGCTAGAGTCGCTCTCGGCTATCGCCTCGAACGACTCTTACGCTTCTTTCGTGCTCAGCAACCTCCCGCGTGCATCCATAACTCAATAGTGTACGCTGTGGTGTTTACCATTTGTTAATTAGCTACTCTTGTCAGCCTTCTCTGCACAAAAAAAAACAAAGTTGGTGGTTAAATAATACACAAGGAAATATTGAGCGCTCGCTCGACAAAAACACGTTTTCCACCCCAAATTTGATTTAGTTCAAATGTGGTCCCATTTCCGCCTGGTTGAAACCAAACCTACGTTGCTGAGTAACCCAACCAATACTATTCTGTTCCACAATATAATTCGTTCTATTCCCTACCATCAAGAGGCTAAACTGCAGGGGTAAACCATCGAGTAGGAAGACCCGTAACTCAACCGTGTGGCCATTCAAGGATGAATGCATCATAAAAGTGAAGCAATCATTTAACAAGAGACGCTTTTAGTAAAGAAATATGAAAAGATTCATGCTGAAGGCTAATTTACATCCCGCAAAAGCTAGTAGAACCCTATTAGGTCAATTCTAGAATTTTTTTTCTCTACCTGCTTGTTATTTGCATTCGTTCGTTTTTTCGCCCAATTACCTGGTAGATGGTACTAAATATGTGATATGAAAGTTACTTGAGGGATGCAGGGGTCAGTGCTCGTAGGCGTCGTTTTTGGCAAGATTCAGTATAACACCTCAAATTATTCCCGTTCCTATTTCTATGTATTAATTCAAATGTTTATCGATTTTTATCACAGATGGTCTTCTAAGCTTCAACATTCGATTTGGTGAGCTTGAACGGTATCAGCCAATGATGGAAGAGTTAGAGAAAGAAGGAAAGTGGGTTAACGTTGCCAAGGAAACGATTCCCCATTTCCAGAAAGATGACATGCCTAAAACCTCGTCCTTTTTTGTCTACAAAATCCTGAAGCATTAGTAAGACCAATAACTAGATGATGAACGAATTAAACAAGATTTGATTACAATATCATTATATCATTATATGCACCGTACCATACTAGGCAAAAAAAAGTACAATAAAAAATACCTAAATACATTACTAGAAACGTGTTATTTTTGTATTTTGATGAGATTGGGTGCAAGGCCGAAATGAGTTGAGTCCCATGTAACGATAAAAGAAAATATTTTGATCAAGATTTTTCAAAATCTAGTTGGAACAAAAAAAAATTATGATTGATTGGGCGACCGCATGCACGTCGCACCAAAAGGGAGCTTAAGTGCAGAGGTATTGCCTCGCCCATGGTAGCCGAACATTGGGGCTCCTTCACCCGGGGCCCCACAGGGCTTTAAAAGTGGTCAACCTGTGCTAGGAAGTCACCCCGCCTCTTCCTATGTGAGATCGCTTAATACAGGTTCAAATGCATTCTATACCCAGGTGTTCAAAGTCGGCTTTCTTTCTGGTACGTTTAAAATCATCGGTTACAAACAGGCAGTCCTCAATTAAAAAAAGCACGGTAAGGACATCTTTGTCCCAATCATAGGCACAACGGTATCATTAACCTCTCTCCGCCCTCCGCCCTGGTATCATTTTGTACATTGCGCTTTCCGTTTGCAGAATCATCTCACTGAATACAAGGCTTGATATATAAACAGGAAAGTTTCTTTAGGCATGTCATCGGTTTCAAAAAACGGCAATGATCTTTTAGAGATAAATTTCCACAATCCCATTGACTCCAATTCCGATATCTTCCCTTGATAGTCCTCCAGTTGGCCATCTCGGATGTTGAAACACACAAGACCACCTAAAAATGAGCAAAACATTAAAAATCTAAAATTCAATAGCTATTAGCCCTTAAACCTCCAAGAGTAATAAGCATCTAATTTCTTCCAACAATATCATCCCTGAATCACACAATAACGACATGAGAATAAAGGAGATGATCGCAAACTCGAGACGCCAGAGAAATTCTCCCTGAGTGTGGAAGGAAATCTATAGAGAAACGCATGGAGAATATGCATACTGATGCTAATGTGTAAAGAGTTAATTTAGACCTTTTACTGGAAAAGTAATCAGTGAGGGAGAACAGGTAGGAAAACAAACGAAACAAACTGGGCACTAAGCCTCTTTTTGTTGTGGGTTTTTTTGCTTTGCTATATGTTGTTTGCTCCTGCGGTGCACCTCCCACACATACATCCCGATCAATGTAAGATGCAAACATGCCATATGCATCGTAGACACAAACTGTTTTAATTCAGATTTAGAGAAACAAATTTAAAACCGAGGCCAACATCTATGGTTAAATCACGAACACTGTTTAGCCATAATTTGTCGGAAATTACTCATAATTTGAGTTCTAGTGCTAGACGCACCAAACAACCAACTCAATTTTGTATCGCAATTATATTATGTAGTTATATTATGTAATTACATCGCAATTATATTACGTAGGTTACGGACCAAGTTTGATCCCCTCGGATTTATGGCCTATAAAACGGCAGAGAACACGAGATTCTGTGTCTTACAGCAAGGACCGAAAAAAAGAAAAAAAAACCAGGTTAGCAAGATCTTCATTATATTTCTAGCTTCAAATAGAGTAAGGACGGAGATTTCATTTCAAATAAACTTTTGAATTTAACAGGCCGTACACTAAAATACGGCCCGTGAAATTGACCAATATATTTTTAATATAGCACGCGTAGTACCTGAGAGATATCATTTTAATTTGTTATAATTATTGGTTTATCTTCCTCTGTTTGTTTGTTTATTCTTCAGAAAAGAAAAACAGGGCCTTGTAATAACTATTTGGCAAATGCGGAAGTAAGCTTACCGACTTTTATCATCCTGACCATCTCTATCAACGCTGATGGATCGATGTGTCCGACGAGCATTGAGCCCCCACAAATCAAGGCATCGAATTCTCCTGATGCAATTTTTGGATTTGGCCTGTCATTCAAAGGGGAACATATAAATTTTGTGTAGACATTTTTTGTCTTTGCTATATCTAACATTTCCTGTGAAATATCCAGAGCACATAGATTGGTGTAACCGAGTTTATTGAGCTCGACCCCAATCAGTCCTGTACCCGCTGCCACGTCTATAATTTTTACTTCATCTTTTCCTTTTCCAGCTAGAAATCGCCGAATGGCTTCATCCAAACCCTCAGCCATTGGCTTGTAGTAAGTTGCACGTGCCGCAATAACAACGTCCTGAAAGTGAAATTTCAACACACCACTCAGCTTTATGTTAACATGGTAGCCAAATAAAGTTAAAGTCTTCTCTCGTGTTGGAACGTAGAGGGAAAATAACTGGAGCAAACTCACGGAGAGGAAGGTACCAAGAGTCTTGGATCACAAAAGCTTCCTCTTTAATACACCGCTGGCCTGCTAATACAGTGTCCTCTACCTCTTTTCTCAATTTTCTATTAACTTAAATATAGAATTGATTTTATGAATGAGCGCTGTCATCGCACGAAAAGGGAGCCTGCGATGTAAAAACATTTAATTATATTTGAACTGATACATATGCTGGTAGAGGAGATGTGCTACCTTTTCGTATTCCTCCGCCCAGTTATCATAAATTTGTTGAATTTCGTTCTCTGTCGTTTCATGAGAAAGATTGGCTAGTCGATCCCCGTAACACCTTTTAAAACCTGCTTCGTAGGACCTTGCAGCCATTCTACAATTTAAAAAAAAGGTATATAAAAATAAAACATAACATTAACCAGCGCGTTTTACATGATCAATGAACACTTTAATTCATTCGTTCAAGCATTTATTCTTCCGCTCGTTCACTCGTTCATTCGTTTGTTCATTCACTCATTAATTTATTAGATCAGTAGGTTAAATGATTGTTTAATAGTTTCATACACCCTCCTACTTGTAAGTGACCCACTATATTGTAAACCACTGGTGATCGAAGCATAAGTTTTGTAACCCTAGAAAGGGCACATCATGTTGCGTTCTTTAATGCTTGATTGCCCGTGAAATCTGACAAAAAGCTGGTACGAGAAGGGTGGGGGTAGTTGAAGGTTGATAAGAGTCCCTGTATCTTGGAATACCCCTTGACATATCACTAAATAAAGCAATCTTCCAGGGTGCGGCTCTTAATACTGACCAAACTGGCTTTGGACTTCGTATGGAGTGGATTACAGCCACATCACCCAGATTATAGTGAGAAGTACATAGTCTATACTCTCTATTAAGCGATAGTCGACCTCCTTCATCGAAATATTTCAAGCTGACAAAATGGTTGAAAACGGTTTTCAGCAACTGCTCGGTGGGAGTCAACGAAATCCTCGCTGTCTACATTACTGGGGCCTGCTGGAAGTAGGGGATAAGGTTCTGCAGAAACTGTGGTGATGCGTTGGAGGGATAAAGATAATTCGGTTCAATAGATACTACTTGAGTATAGTTGATGGCGCGTTCTTATCGGCTAGTCCAACGCCGAATATCCCTTGCTATTCAGTTAATTACCCCCTTGGTTTATAGAGACTGGGGGCTACGTCGGAGGGTTGGTATAACAAGATAATTTGATCTACTATAAAACACTAGATAACGCTAAAGGCGCGCCCTGATTAGCAAATCAAACACCAAATATCATATGCTATTCACCTCCGAGAAACGCACGCAAGATTTGTGCCCAAAAATATTGTAATTGATGAATGAATTAAAACCAGCTTTCTGTGCTAATTCATCCCGCTGCATTACAGCTTGGCAAATATTCTTCACTTGCCACATCCACTTCAGTGAATAGTTGTTTTTAAAGTATCAACTGAGTTGAAAATCTGATTTGGCCACTGCAAAGTGTTTCTGGAGCAGATTTTTCGAGAAAATTTTACGGTTGAAAGTTTAAATTATCATTTATTGCGGCATTTATAGTTTCGGTTCTAGTTTTTAACTCTTGAATTGTGCGCATGCGCAAGAG